GGCTGGGGAATTCTGGGAGTTGAAGTCCGGACATCTTCAAGTTGCCAAGGTTGAGAAACACTGATCTAATGTGACAAGGGTTAACCGGAGAGGCAGTTTCTGTAAGCAGGTCAATAAAGATTAGGCTAGAAACAACACCAGAATGTTTCCTTCCTGCCTTCCTTGCAGGATTAGCCCTGTAAAGTGGAAAGAAACAAAAGGAGATTTCTTCCAACAATCAGTTCTCTGAACTACTTAGAAAGTTAACAACCGGTTCTCCCGAAGAGGTGCGAACTGGCTGAATACCACCTCTGTAATAGTAGTACTATCTTGATATTTTCAATAATCATTTGAAGAGTTACATCTTTATCATATGATAACTAACATTTAACATTGAGCAGTAATGCTTATACTAAGGCAGAGGGAGAAATACAAGGTCTTTTCTATCTTTTATTACAATAAAATGTTGATAATTATTTATTAGGAATTCTATTCTTTGAGAGAATGGTCATTCATTGATTATGGAAAAACAATATATGTGCAGAGTTTAATTCTGTTAGATAATTGGTTAAAATGTGAACGTTCTTTGATGAAAAGTTCTTAAGTAGAAAAATACTGAACATTTAGATTTTATTAAGATGGGAAAGCAGTTTTAAACAGAGGTTTGCTTACAAATAACAAGATAATAACTGACATTTTCAGTTCACATCACATGATCTTTCAGAAGGATAAATAATGTAATACATTTAAGAAAGCAAAGGGATAAAAACAAAGCTACATCTGATTCTGTTGTGAGGGAAGCCTGATCATAGAGAGAATGAATGGAGATCAAAATGTAAAACAAATAGGAAGAGTAAATAGGTTGAGAAAAAGGGAAAGACAGAGAAAGTCATGGCTAGATGGAACTTATAAAAGTCCTGAGACTGGAAGAGGTGAATAGTTTAATGAATGAAGACAATATATGAAACTATGGAGGCAATGGAATGAAGGATAATTTGGAAGGCTAGACAGGTAGGGAATACTGGAGTCTTGATGTAGACCAATGTTACCTGTATTTTGTTTTTCTTATTTTATAATTTCTTTTTTTATTTCTTATTGGTGTCTGTGTTCTTCATACAATCATACAACTTACCATGAAAGGAAATAGCACGGCTCAGGGTTGACTCAGCCTTCCATCCTTCCGAGGTGGGTAAAATGAGGACCCAGATTGTTGGGGGCAATATGCTGACTCTCTGTAAACCGC